AGAAAAAGTGAAAAGCACTATAGAATCCCATTAGAAATATCCACCTTTAGATTGAAAGTGTTACCTGACAAATCAGAGATGTACAGGGGAGATAGCAAAGTTTCCTGTGTGCTTTCCTATGTTAGGTTTGTGTTCTGTGAGGTATGTTTTTAATGAGGAAAGTGAACAAAATTACTTAAGCTTCAGTGCGTCTGAAAATAGGTAACTGACAATTGAAAAAATATGCCCTGAATTCATCTGACTATACTGAAAATAGTAAAAAAATCTTGCAGAAGTAATTTGGTATGTCCTTAGCATTTTTTGTCTGGTTTTTTTGGCATACCGAGTACTTTGGATAATAGTTAATTGTGCCTGTAAGTAGCCCAAACATTTTTTTTTTAATATAATGCTGCTGGCATCTCTGAAAAATCAAGTACATGGATATAATTGTAAAACTATATTTACTGCTGTTGAAAGATGATGATTAGCCCTGTGGTCTTGTGTCTGCTAAACGAGTTTTTTAAGCAGCCAGAGTTCCCATGGCCTTTGCTCTTGGATGTGTAGGACCTCAGTCTGACTTGAGTAGAGTGTGCTGGGGCAGGAAAGTGATCTTGTGTCTGGAGCCTAATTCTTCACTTGTTTTTCCACCAAACCTGCTCAGCAGGCATCTGTTCATTGGTGGGTGACTGGTTGTTTTGACACAGGTTCTTCGCTAGAAGTTACAGAGAGTTTTCCACATTATCTGCACTCTGCTTCGCAATGGGAAGATTGCCTTCTGCCACTTGTAGCTTTCAGTCCTTGTCTCCACAGTTCTTCAAGCTCTTGATCCAAACAAGGTTGGATGTGTGGGTTTGGGGTTTTTTGAATTCAAGACTGGTCTAGGAGCAGTGGAGTGAGCACAGTCTGTCTCCTAGATTTTGTAAGCCACCCAAATCCCCTTTTAAATATTAGTTACAGTTTGTATTTTGTAAATATTTTCTTTGCAGTGATTTATAGCTCTTAACCTCCTCATTATGATTCACAGCATTTTGGACTGCCTGCTTCTTGGGGGAGAGAACGAGGGGTTGTTTTTTGTTTGTCTCTAACTTGGACCTGAAGCGGTTCCAGTTCTAGAAGCAAGTGGGAGATGTAAACAGAATGTTCTGGGTATTAATAATCTCTGTGCTGGCCTGTCACACTGGTGCTTGTCTAGTTTGATGGGGAGGTAGCCCTCTGTCTAGCCATGCGGTTGGAGATCTGCTCGGAGCTCAGGTGGTGCTGGAGCCCCAGCCTCCCTGCTGCTGCGGAGAAATCCCCAGCATTTAAATGATCACCACCTGGGTTAGGACAGAGGAGTCCAACTGGGAGGTGAGAAGATGGCCCCAAACCTTTCAGAACACCCTCATGTTGCCAGGTGTCCTCCTCCCCTTTTACATGAGCACACGCACATGTATATGTCTGTGCTTTTCTCAGCAGCTGCCTCTTCTTGCGTAGCGTTTCCTTACTGCTGGTGGGTGTAAGGGAGGAGCTGACGTGGGGGCACAGGCAGCAAGTAGTTAAAAGTAAAGCACATGCTGCTCGTGTCCTGAGCTCTGATGTGTTTCTCAGTGACCTTGAGCAGAGCTCAAAGCTTGCGTGTGCAGGCATGAATGACATTATCACCTGCATCAATATATGTTACACGGACTGCGCTGAGGAGGTGCGGTGAATGCAATACAGCTCCTAAATGCGAGATCTCTGCCACAGCATGTCTCTGTGTTGCCTGATGACAGGCATTGAACGTGTGTTAGCTCCCTTCCGAGCTGAATCACTGTCTATAGCAAAGGGAGAGGTCCATTTCTTCACTGTGAAGTGTTGACATGAGGCCAGAAGGAGATTAAACTCCGTATGGGGAAGGAGTCAAGGTGGGGAGTGGGCGCTTGGTGAAATCTGGGCTTTTGTAGTCTGGCTTGGTCAGAGTAGCACTGTTGCCAGCATCTGTTATGTGCTGCCTTAGAACAGACTCCAGGCCCTTCCTTTCATCTCCTTCCTGGTGAATTAAGCCAAGGAATAACTATAAAAGGAAAAAAAGAAAGATCTGAGGACACTGTTTCTTTCATTTATGTTGTAGCTGAATGTGTGGCAGTAGTCATATGTATTGAGCTAATGTTATAGTGGTGGAAAGTTCAAATCTTACCTTAGGACCATGGGACCATAGAGATGAGGGAGCTACAGCATCCAGAGAGACAAGGTATTTGATGTTAAACTTCCACTGAAAAATCAGGGTATGTGAAAGCCTGAAAAGCATTTGGGGACTCTCAGTGTAGTTAAAAAGGTAAAGGACCAAAATCCCCTGTTCCTTCTATTGTTTTTCCTCTTTGAAGCATTTGTCTTGCTGTACACATCTCACATACTGCAAAATGACACTGCCATATGCAGGACCAGCTGTGAGTGCTTTCGGGTGGGCCACTCTACATGATACATCACACCCTTGGTAAGAAAGGAGTTCTGCCCTTTGCCTAGGAACAAATGGATGGGAGAGGAGTGCAGACAACATTCTGGCTTCCTCCCCTGTGGAAACAGCAGATCCAGTCCTGTGCAACCTGTATTTAAATTTAAAGACTAAAACATTTTTGTCATCACCATTCAAGATCTGTGTGTTTCCTCATTCACACAGCAGAAGATGCACTTTGTCCATGGGTGTTTGCTCACTTGCCAAATCCATGCAAAGCCATAGAAAACATGGGATTTGGCAAATTGCACTAACAGGGCTCCGAAGTGGATTGTAGATATCCCCTTTAGCAGGAGTGTTGGTGTTTTTTGGGAGTTACTTTAAAGAACTCACTTGCAGGTGTTGTATACAGTGATGATAGATAGGCTACTCCTGTGTTTTGTCCTTCTTGGACAGATTTGCCCTGAGGAGCCAAGCACTCTGGTGGAGCGATAAAAAAACCCCCCACTAAATAGCATGGTCTGATTTAATCGCAGGCCAGCTGCATTGATTGTTCCCCTAGGGTGCACTCTCTGTATGTTTGGAGAACCTTTTTGTCATGGGGTTGAGGGCAGGAGAAGAGGGGAGATGGTGGGGGTGGGTGGAGATAGCTTTTGGATAAGAGCAACTGGAAGTTTCTGAGGTTGTTCCTAAAAATTTTGTTTGTGGGATGGATGAGTCTTAGCCAAATAAAAATTCTTCATTCTGCCAGGCTTCACCTAAGACTTGCACAGCTATGGGAAGTAGAGATACTCGCCAGGGCAGTATCTTCATTCTTCCTGCCACAGCTTAATTTGTGTTAACCAGATCAAACATGTTTTATGCTGCTGAATGCGCAGCCCTCCCAAAATGAGATGGAAAGCTGCCACTGCTTTGCTCAGCATGACAAGACCCCAGTGCTTACTGTTTCCTTGCCTTATCTTTATATTTACTTGCTTTATAACCAATGTGCAAGTTCAAGGTCATGTCTGTAAGTGATATTTCTGGGCAGAAGACACTCTCTTAATGTTGCTGGTTTAGCTTATCTGTGGAGATGATTCCAAATGTACATGAAGTGTTATATATTGAGTGATGTGCAGATCAGCCTAGCAAGTACATTCAATGGTTGGGGAGATGTTGTGGGCAACTCCCCTCAGATTTTTTTCATCTTTGATACACAAATCACATATTTAAAATGGGGGGAAAAAGGACCCAAACCAGTAAAAAACTCACCCCTACTCTTCCATCTTTAAAGCCTATGTGTGTACTTGAAAATGCCTTGAAAAGACTGACTCTAGCAATTGCACAGTCCTTGCCTTCTTGTAGAACTTTTTACTTGATGAATTTAGATGCCAACCTGACTTCTGCCTTAAGAGTTGAAATGACACTTAAAAGTGCATCACACAGGTAGTCAAAGCATGACTCCTAGGAGACTGAGTGAGCAGCAGGAGATAGTGAGGGGGTGGGTGCTCTTTGAATACCTTGGCCTGTCAGTGCATGTGCTTGGAAAGGGACAGAGCAATAAAACCGACCAAATTGTAGTCTGCTTTGTTCTGTAGCTCTGAGGTTTTGAGGTTGTTTTTGTGACTAAAGTGTGAAGAATGCCATTTTTTCCATCAAACCATTTTGCAAAGGGGCCTTGCCGTTATATTTAGTGCTGTGCTCAAATTTTACCCCTTTTCAGTCTAAGCCCACACAAGTGACTGAGGTTCTCTTCCTTTCTTTTCTTCTGCCAGTTATCTCTGCGGGGCATTAGGTCTCTCCTCTGGCACACAGGTCCCACTTATTCCTCTGCCTGTGTGCTGTACTTTTTCTGTGAACAAGAACTCCTGGCCAACCCTTTGGCCTTGCTTTGCAATGCCAGTCAGTGCTTGAGAATGGTGGAACAAATACCTTTTCTTAGCTATGGAACTGGTAGCAGAAAGTAGCACTTGAAATTTTTATAAATTTTGCGGTGATGATGATGACTGTTTTCTCTTCCTGGGCTCACTTAAATGTATGAGAAAAGTTAATCAAAGACATCCATAATCTGTTCATACATGGATTTTACCATTTAATTGTAGATCATCTTTTGGGGTAATGTTTCTCTGAAGGGAGCTTGACAGAGCAGATGCCGTTTTGCTTGGGGATGCACGTCTGGTATTGGCCCAGTGAAGAGCTGCCACTTCAGCTGTGGGATTTTGATGATTGTATGAACATCCTGCCACATGAGATTAGAGTGGCGGTACTACCTCCCAGCTTCAGGATATGAAAGATCCGCCTCTTCATTAGAGCTTTCATATGGTGGCAGCTGAAGTGAGGAAGAACAGGCTAAAAGAGAGAAGCAATTTAAGAAAACCGAAGACAACTCTACTAAGCTGATAGGTGATACGAGGGGAGGGAGGCTGAGATCTCATTACTGTTTACTCATGGAAAGGGAGGGGAAGAACAACAAATCAATTGTTAAGGGCTGCTGGCTTTATCAAAATAATTGCCAAGTGCTAGATAGTGCAGTTACAAGTGTAGTGCTAATACCTAAAAAGAGGTAGACATAGCATGTGAGGAGGAGTTGTGGTTTCTACTCATGCACGTGCTTTTGTCTCTCTGATTTCAGCAGACAGAAGGAGGGGCACAGACAGATGGACAGCAATCACAGACGCAGAGCAGCGAGAATACTGAGAGCAAATCCACTCCAAAACGACTTCATGTGTCTAACATTCCCTTCCGCTTCCGAGATCCTGACCTTCGGCAGATGTTTGGGGTAAGTTATCGCTGCCTTTTAGGGCATGGCAGATTCTTCTTTCCCACAGGTGGGACACCTGGTACTGGTGTATTTATGTGAATGAAAAGCCTGTCCCCCTCAATTTAGTCAGCACACTGTAAAATAATTGCAGGACTAGGACAATTGGTAGCATTTAACTTGGCTGGTAAATACACATGAGAACTGTAACAGTGTTCTTCCTATCAAGTTGTTAGTAGAATCATAGAATGGTTTGGATTGGAAGGGACTTCAAAGATCATCTAATTGCAACACCTCTGCTATAGGCAGGGACACCTTTCACTGGACCAGATTGCTCAGAGCTCCATCCAGCCTGACCTCAAACAGCTCCAGGGATGGGGCATCTGCAGCTTCTCTGGGCAGCAATGTTCAGTGTAATCTAACAATTGGTTTGGGGAAACAAACCAACCAACAAACCCAAAACAAAACTTCACCTTCTTTCTGAGTAAAGACTTGGATTAAACATTGACTTAATGTATCCCTTGCAAAGGACTGTTTTTCAGTTGCATAGAAACTTGATGAAATATTTATGTCCTTCTCCGTAATCCATTTCTGTGATGAAAAATTGCTGCAAGGTATTTGCCACCTAGCAATTGCATGTGGAAAAGCTAGTGCAAGTCAGACAGTATTTTACATTGCGTATGATATACATTCTGTTTCTTTTGACCAAATAGTTTGTCTTCCCTAATCCTTGTATGCTATTCATGATTCTCAATTTATAAGCTCTTCAAGGAAGAGTTTGTTTACGTGAGTATAGGTGATGACTCATTCCATGTGAACACAGAGATAAATGTTATAGATGCTTCATGACCTAACCCTGAGGTGAAGTTATCTATATATCATCATCATCAGGAGTATTGGACTTGTTGATATGATTACAATATAATCCTTGGTTGATGGCACATTTTACAGTCTTAAAAATTATTTCTGATTAGTTTTTAAGTTAATATCCTGTTTAAGATACAGTCCAGAGAATTCAAGTCAGGAAAGACCAAACCTAGAGTTCCTCTTGTCACTTTAGGCTTAGTGTGTAACTTGGTCCTAGCTGCATATCCAGCTGCTCCTCCAAATTCTGCAGTATTCCTGTTTCAGTTGTTGTATCTCCTGAACCATCTCTGTGGGTGTACATGCGTGCGCATACACACACTCACACACAGAGTAGTGTTGCAATATTGTAAATATGTCAAATTCATGGACTTCAAGCTCAGACTCCTATAAATGAGAGAAGAATTGGGCTTGTTTGTTCATAGCATGGACAGTACAAAGAGAACAAACCATGCAGAAATGTTAAAAATTTCACTGATGGTCTTAACAAGAGCCCCAGTTGCTATATTTTGTGAGAGATCTCTGCTCCTTGCTCTTGAAACTTTTTGTGTCCATAAGAAACTATTTTGTGGATGAGGCCAAATGGAGAGGAGTGGTCAAAATGCATGAAGGCAGGGCTGCTATTCAGTGGGACGTGGCCAGGCTGGAGAAATGGGCTGAGGGAAATCTTAAGATACTTGGCAAAACTGAGTTTCAGGCTTTGCATTTGAGAGGGAATAACCCCTGCAGCAGCATGGGCTGGTTGTGTAGGGAGATGCCCTGCAGTAAAAGATGTGGGATCCTGATGGACAACCACTTGAACATGAGCAGCAGTGTGCCCTCGATGCAAAGGCGCGCGGATGGCACCCTGGGCCTTGTTAGTGAGTTGCCAGCAGGCCCAGGGAAGGGATCCTTCCCCTGTCTCCAGCAGTTGTTGGACTGCATCTGGAAAACTCTGTCCAGTGGGGGATCTCCAGAGCAAGAAATGCACTTCATCTAAAGGAAATACTGAGGGAAGCCTAGTGGGCACCACTGAGATGATCAGGAGGCTGCAGAACTTGGCATGTGAGCAGAGTCTGAGGTCTGGGCTTTTGCAGCTTTGAGGATAAAAGGGCAGAGGAGGGCTATTTTTGTTGTCTGCAACTACCTGATCAGGGGATACAGAAAAGATGTATCCAGATTATTTTTGATGGTGTCTGATGATGAGACAAAGACAACAATCACAAGTTAGAACATAGGAAGTAGAGTCATAGAATATCCTGAGTTGCAAGGGACCCACTAGGAATCACACCATGTGCCTAAGAGTGCTGTCCAAATGCTTCTTGAACTCTGATAGGCTTGGTGCTGTGACCACTTCCCTGGTAAGCTTGTTCCTGTGTCCAACCACCCTCTAATTGAAGAACCTTTTCCTGATATCTAACCTAAACCTCTCCTGACACAGCTTCACGCAGTTCTCTCGGGTCCTGTCATTGGTCACCACAGAGAAGAGATTTGTGCCAAACCTTCCACTTCCCCTTGTGAGGAAGCTGTAGATTGCTATGAGATCTCCTCTCAGTCTCCTCTTGTCCAGACCAAACAAACCGAGTGCCCTCAGCTGCCCCTTATACGGCTTCCTCTCAAGGCCTTTCACCATCTTTGTTGCCCTCCTTTGGACAATCTCCAATAGCTTAATATCTTTCTTATATTGCAGTGCCCAAAACTGCACACGATATTCAAGCTGAGATCTCACCAATAAAGAGCAGAGCAGGACAATCCCCTCCCTCAACCAGCTGGCGATTCTTTGCCTGATGCCCCCCAGGACACGGTTGACCCTCCTGGCTGCCAGGGCACTGCTGACTCATATTCAACTTGCCATTACCAGGACCCCAGGTCCCTTTCTATGGCACCGCTTTCCAGCACCTCAGTCTGCATGAACATCCAGGGTTGCCCCATCCCAGTGCAGAATCTGGCACTTGTCTTTCTTTAACTTTGTGTAGTTGGTGATTGTCCAGCCCTGTAATTTGTCTAGCTCTCTCTGCAAGGGGCTCTCTGCCTTTGATATATCAATTAGATATCAGGAAAATTTTGTTTTTACTGTGAGGATGCTTAAATAATGGAAAATGTTGCCCGTGAAGATTGTGGAAGCTCTATCCTTGAAGGTGTGTGCCTTCACTGACACAGCCTGGCCAAACAGATCTTCTTAGACCTGCTGTGAGCAAGGGTCACACTAAACAACCTCTGGACTTTATTGCCAGCCAAAACAGTGAGTCTGTGATTCTGTTGCAAGAGGATTGGGTTTGCTTCAGTGTTGTTCATACCTTAGATTGTCACACTTTTGCCATCTGTTGGAATGTTTTCATAATGAAACTCATCTCCTGGCAATCTGTGATTGCTGAATATTCTCAGTCGCCTGCTCTGCTTTTGTGGTTTTTTAGCTTGCTTTTTGCTGTTGCAGGGCTGTGTGGTAGGCAGTTCCATCCGGTTTGGATAAATGGTTGCTGAAATCACAGACAGTTCTTGGACCACCTGCTACAATCTGTATTTATCACGTCCTGCTCTCTGCTACTGCTGCTCCCCTCTCCTGGGAGCTGCATCGCTTACATAAATCACTTAGACATTGCTGTCCCTTCTCCTGGGACTGGCACTTGGCCTGACAGCTAGCCCTTTTCACACTTCTTCACCTTGATGCTCCTCCTCCATGTGCTCCTGGTGTGGGAGACATGGATGAGATGGAAATGCCAAGGACATCCCTGTCCTAGTGACTCTTGTCTCTGCTTTACAGATTGGAAGACCCAGGAAATTTAAATGAACTACTGTCCTAAGTGGTGATTTGTAGAAAATGCAGCCTAATTACTTGCCTTAAGATTTCCTGTCCTTTTTTTGGGCCCATATGGTACCCTTGTTGTACATGGAAGGGATAAGGAAATAGCACTATGTGTTCTTCAAGTTATTTTTATTTGTTTATTTTTTTCTCTAAACATAATCTCAAACTCCAGCACAGTGATGTGATTTTAACTTGGGTAAATGGTATATTTCTTGTAAAACCTTTTGCTAGTTCACCTGACCCTTCATCTTCTGGGGCATAAAAACTCCCATGTGCCATTTTTCAGTAATAGAGAACTTTGCTACTTTGCCAAGGAAATAATGATCCTTGTGCATCTTCCTTTTTCTTTCAGTGCTGCTTCTCTTAGCATGCTCATAGCCTCAAGCAGGAGAGCAATTCTCTCTACATCCTGCTTGCTCCTATTTCTTTTTCAGGATCAGGATGCTTTCCTTTGGGTGACTCACTGAAATCTACCCTTTCTCCTAACAGGGACTCGCGGTTGTGTGAGTCTTGAGCTGTGACTAGCCTGTAACCCCCATCTTCTCCCTCTCCCTTCTGTGTGTCAGGTCACATCTCTTCAACGTCATATCTGAGAGACTCAAAATCCTTGCCTGGAGTGTTTTTCCCAAGCTACTGTACGAAGAGAGGAATTGGGTAGACAGTGAAGCTGTGGAGGAAGAAATAAATGTGATGGTAGGGAGGGAGTAAAGAAGTCCCCTCAAGGATGCAACAGCATGCGAGAGGTCAGCCCAGCCCTGAGGCGCAGAAACTATCTAATGCTTTTGTCCAGACTTGAGTAGAGGGGGACTTCAGACATGTTGTCCCATATGTGATTAAATGGATATTACATAATGCTCTCTGAACTTGCACGATTTGTGAGAGGGGCAAACATAAGGATTTCTGAACAAATTCAAATTATTTGGTTTCCAACCATTTTTCAGCAATTACGTGTTTCTAACGGGTCCCTGAAATATCCTCAGGATAGGAGCAAACATTTCCTTATGCATCTTATAGGGAGGCAAATAAAATGGGCTGCTTAGAACAGGTAATATTTGCTTGACATTTCATGAGGCCATTAAAAAGACTTCCAGAAAGCTTCTGGAAGGAATAGGTCATTTTTTAATGCACACAGTTCTGCACCCACTGTGGAATAAATCAATAGTTGACCTTGTTCTAGAAGATAAAGAAGAGTTAATAGCTGACCTGAAATCCCACCGTTGCCTAGGTACCAGTGATTGTTATTTGTCTGTATTTGCTTTGTGCAAACAGAATATGGCATCAAGCAGTAATGTAAGGAGCTTTAGAAGAGTCTGTTTCTTGGACATTAAACAATTGGCAGGATAACTGTCCAGGAAGGTATCTTTAAAAGCAAAGT